AGACTCTCTACCAAAAATCAACAAATCTGGCACGGCAAGTAACATAACCCTTCAAATATGATGTCCGCCAATGACTGATAAATTTCAGATAATCGCTGCTGTATCTCAAATCGAAAAACCCTGACGTAGCAATGATTCAATTATGCCAATAGATTACTCAATATTAACTCCAAATTTATGTTTTCTGCATTTTGTCATTTGAAAGAATTCAGTGTACTTATATCTGTTTAACTTTCTTTCAAATGTGCTTATAACTATGTTATTGATTGGAGACCATCTTCAGTGCTTGCTTAAAAAGTAGACAAGTATAATGTTATATACTTTTAAAATTAATTAATTTCATTTATTTTTCTAGACTCTAGAAGAACCGCTGCGAAACGTCATCGATGTGTCAAATGCGACGAATGGTCACACTAATAGCGTGAAAACATGTCTAAGCCCTGCAGTTATGAAAACCGGAGCTGATAAGCTTGTCATATGTCATTCATTCGGATGGAAATTAATGTTTACTTGTAACGTATTCATTGTAATCAATTAATTTTATGATTTATGTACAGATATTATCTGAATCCATTTTTATATGTTTTAATAATTTCAATAACATCTTCCCAAACGTTAGAAAAAAATTTGAAAAAAAAGGGGTTCTTCGTACACTAATTGAAAGTTTTGATCGTCTCTTGCAATTGTCTACCCTTCTTTCAGAAAACATTATTCGAGATAAAAAGAATCAAAACCATGAATAATTATATATCTTGCCTACTCTATTATCATCTTAAATCAAAGTAGGATGAAAAATTTGTGTTGTCATGCTAAAGTTCTTCTGGCAAACACTTAAGAATTTATTCCTCTGTGCTGACAAAGTGAGAACTCTTTGAGAATTGGTTCTTGTGATTTATTTAAGTACCTCGCATTATATATTATATCAAGATATTTTTTAAAACTTTATAATCAACTACAGCCAACTTAATCAGGCTTTTAAAAAATGGGATTGAGAAGTTGTTATAAAAAGTGCGCAACTGATATAATAGTTAAGTAGACTGAATTAAGGAAACGGCGCATCGAAGTCGTTAAGAAGGCATTCTGACATCCGCCATACAACAATCAAACATCCAAATTTAATTGTCTTCGGCTCAAACTAACAAGATATAGCACAATGTTATAATCTTAAAATTTGTCAATTATCCTTTGAAACGCGATCATCCGGGTGTTTACATCGTTTGCGCAATGTAAGTTTGACGGTTCGGGTGCCACCACAGTTTGACGTTAGAGTTAATAGTGTACCAATATACGTGTCCTAGTGGTTTTTGCCTCTAGTATATAAATATACATGTGTTCAATATTCCGTCAATCAGGGTTTTGTGAGAGAGATATTAAGTGGTTCTTCTGTGGCTCATTATATTGATTAACTTGGACATGCATCTCTAAGGTAAGATTATGAATTTAATGGAGTTAGCATAAAAGATATAGATCAATGTACAAAATGTACTTTATTTTATTTTTCACATTTAAACCACGAATTGTTTTATTTGAATTAATATTAATGTACAAAAGAAAAAGTAAAAATATAAAGCTTTACATGTATACTGCACATTGAATTTTTTTTTTCAAAAAAAAAAAAAAAAAAAAAAAAAAAGATTTTCAACTATCATGGCCATATCGAAATTGATTTAACGACAAATATTGTGATGGGCGTCGTAGAGATTTTTGTTCTGTTAACGCATTTTCGTTGTTAGGGAGCTGGTCTCTAAAGTTAATGATGCTATCAGCCTCATCTTTTGACTCATTAAGTTTAGAGTGTCGCTGGTGTTTCATCTGTAAGAGGCATTTCATTATACCTGATAAGACAAACAAAATGTTATAAAATAACGTAAAAAAGATTAATTCATTTGGCATATCAATATCTATAAGTATTAGTCACCTTGCATATTTTTTTTTTCGATGACACACTCTGTTTTTGAGCAGAATCTTTGAAGAATTATTTTTAAAACATTAGCTTTTCGTACGCGAATTAGCTTCCTGAAACATTTTCCAGTGTATAATAACAAGAACCAATATAACATTTGTCGATCTCACTATTTTTTTAAAAAAAAAAAGGCGATTTAATATGATAGATATAATCGCTGCACCTTGAGAAATATCCTTTTTATCTTAGATTGCGTCTTATCAGATGGACCCTGTTTCTATAAACTTCGCTGTCCTCTTAAGAGCTGTTTGTATATACAAACGGACGCGTTATCGTTCACAGAAGAGTAGTGTTTTATATACACTTAGAGTAAACTCATTCCTTTCATTTGTGGAACTGGATTAGGTGATAAATTGTTTCGACAATGCTTAAGATAGCAGAGACTCGCGGTGCGGAATTAACTGAGCTTTTCACTTTTTTACCTCCTTCTTTTCCCCCCCTGTTTCAAATGGTTGACCTTTTGTTCGATACTTTTGGCGGAATACACCTTTTCTAGCAGATGTAAAGAGGCATTACGGTTAATTTGTGCCAACTCTTCTTTAAGGCGACAAAGTGCCAAGGGGATAACAATGCGTAAAAGGATTAGAACAGCTCCGAGTGTCCCCCCGTCCTGGCGTTTGTCCTATTTTCGGTCGCTTCACAGATCATTATCAGTTTTTTTTTAATCCTCTAATTCGCCTCCTGACAATAATTGAGAGGACAGCCCCAGCATAAAGAGCCTTACATCACTCCAGATGTACATGTATATGTATTAGACGTTGAATCTAAATTCCTTTATTTTGCAATGCTTTTATTTTGAATGAAATCGATTTTTTTTGGTAGAATTCTCATTAGCAATGCCATTAATTAAACAAACCATGCCCAAGGAATGGTAAATATATAGATTTATCTTTATTGTGTGAGCTTGCTCTGAACAATGTACCTATGTACTAAAACTATAGAAGCGCGCACAGTAGTTTCTCATCAACATTACGAATTCGGATAATTAACAAAATACCACCTGAATTAAAGAATTAAGCATTTCTTAGTTCAATATATTTTCAACATACAATAAATAATTATGATAAACACGGTTTTCCGATGTAATATATCTTTGATGATGCATGTAATGAGCGAAATATTCCTTCTGGAGAAGTTATTAAGGTGTTGAAGGGAGGAGGAGAAAGCGCTGAAATCTGGCAATAATTCTTAACTGTCTAACATTGGTGTATACATCTACAAAGCAAAAAATTAACTATACTGATATATAGCCATGTCTGTTGACTGAGTGTCATTCAACGCTTGTTTGAAGCTGGCGTAAAATTGATCTATTTTAGCGTCGTTGGCTTAATAAGCAAAAGAGAGGATTGATAATTTTATTTTCTTAATTTCTCATGTCATGCACGGAATGTTTCTATGGGTCTTTAGTCTCATGCAGTTTTGTAGGAAAGAAAAGCTCCCATAGAAACAGCTGTTGTTTTCATAAATCATTAAAAAATAAAGGTAGAATCACCGTCGGTTACTTTTCCAAGTTTGAAGTTGTAATCTTACAAAATGTCAAAGGCGATTAATAGTGGGTGTTTAACTGACCAATCACGTGGTTCGGCTTTCGTGAATGATCAGTAATTTTTTTTCAGTCGCTGATATTTTCGATATTTCACGTCAAGTTGCCTTTCATACATGAGTTCGAGCTTTTTGACAGTACGCAACCAATTCTTAACGCGGTCTATAACTGAGAAATGTGTGTATTTATTTTTCACAGTTGCCCATTTGATGACATGCAATCAAAGCATCTTAATTAGTGTGCGACAAGACCTTACTGCAAACAAGTGTTAGCCTCCAGTTTGACGATTTTATCGAATATGATGGAATTTTTATTTAGAAAGGAACGCTTATTTTTTATTGGTAAGTATTTTCACTATTTTTTATAATGTGCTTTATTGTTAATATTATTACAATATACTTTTTATATTTATTTAGGTCAAATATCATTGGTTGCTTTTACTTTTTAAGTTAAAAATACGTTCTTTTTGTTTTAAATGAAACACGTTGACACAATTAACTGCAAGTTTCTATATTTTGAGATAACGTAAGAACAAACATAAAATTATAAATATTCAATTTTGTAGGTTAGTAGGTTTATTGAACTGTAAGCTTTATTTTTTACTATGAACGATAAAGTTAAAAAAAATTGTTATACAATTATGTAAGATATTTGAATAATGCGATGAAATTTGTACAGAAAGTTCATAGATTTCAAGAAATTGCTCTTTTGGAATTCTTTTGATACGTGAACAATATATTTCGTTAAAACGCATTTCTGAACCAGTGTGATTTCTATTTTTCCCCTTATCAACATTTTCAACATCTTTGTTTTTATAGCAGAAAGAAATTGGCCGAGTGTAAATAAACGTCTACAAATTTTAAAATACTATAATCTAACACAGAGTGAAGAATACTTCAAGCTTATTGATGTTTCCGCAGTCGTTTTATTTTACTAAATAATTTAAGTGTACTTTTCGTTTCGTGCCGCATGTTTGAAATCTGACATGTTATTATTAGCATTTTTTCTTGAATGTTTCTAAAAAGATAAATATTATTTTAGTTCGATATCTTTGAAAGGTTTATCAGTTCCCAAGCGCAGGTTGTTAGTATAGTTTGGGTTTCTTAAATAAGCTTTTGTTGTGGTGATCTTGTTAAGGAAGTAAATTACGTTCATAGTTATATTAAGTTAAGGAGGAAATAATAGGCTAAACAGTATCATCAACAAAGCACAAATCCAACGCATTCTTCAATATAGATGAAAAGACAGATTTCAATTTTTTTGTCATGAAAAAATAATTAAATTGTGGTAAATGTCAAAGAAAAACGTATCAGCTACACAGAATCTCCCTAATTGTAAACTTTTAAACTAAAATTTAAAATGAGTTTTCCTTTATGACTTTAAACTCCGAGGTAGAAAACTAATTTGCAGGGAGGCGTCATGTCGGTTGCCATATATCTCACTTTAAAAAAATGAGAGGAGATTCACTCATAATCTTTTTTATCTACTTTATATGTTCCAGATTGGCTATTAACTTCGACTTTAATAATGTCAGGGGTCTCTCTTCAGGTCGGAAAGGACAGAGGTTCGTAAAACTCTAATTTATCATTTTGTTTCACTTCAATCAAGCTAAAACTCTGTTATCTTTTTCTATTATTAATTCAGTGTAACTTTCTTCTTTTGATGCTTTAATACACCAATTAACATGTGTATAGTGGACCACACACCCAGAAGATGTCAGAGCTCCCATAACAGAATCATCAGAACAAAATTTATCATATTTTTTATTGTAGATTTACTTCATTTATTTATACTATAGACTTATCTCTTTAGTACACGAGTGTAGAGAACTTAATATTAGACAGTCATTCGTTTTATTCTTATATTTCAGTGTGATAAAATGATACTATCATCGTTCTGTAAGCCCACGATCTTCATTTATTTATTTATTTATTTATTTTTGATTTTCAGGAACAACGTCATGTTTTCAAAATCACGAAACAGTCAAATTTTCTGTGGAGAAAGGTGACTACGGATATGTGACGTCATACGAATATCCTGATAACTACACCTCGGACTTTTACCTCGGGCATTCTTGTAACGTGGAAATCAGAGGCTGTAGCACCTGCAGAGTAAAGGTCACGCTAATTGATGTAAACTTTCCACCTTGTCCAGCTGTGCAGATATCCAAACATAGGAACTTGTGCATTCCTGGGTAAAAATCAGATTGTTCTGCATAAATCTCTAACGTCTGTTTTTGCATATTTGTATACCTCTTCTAAAATGTATATTAGTACAAGCGACATCCAAAATTAGATCCGATATGAATATTGATTTGATATATTAATATATCGAATAAATAAAATGAGATTTCCAAAGTTCCCTTTCGAAGATTAAGTTAACTTACGAATGAATCTGAAATTCGATTTATAACTATTAATTTCCTAATTTTTGGATATTGATATGATGTCTATCTGTAATTATCAAATGATCATCCTTCGTACTCTTGTAATAATACAGATTTATTCGATATTTTTTCTAGCTGTGACCACCTTCAGATTCATGAAGTCGACCAGCCTTACCACACTAAGAATCTCCAGAATTATCATACCAACGACAATGAGGCTGAATATATTTCTATATCCTCCAACGTCAAAATACGTCATTGTATTTCTAACGGAACCGGAATAATGGGCAAGCGCTTCCGGGTCAAGTACGAGGTAACTGGTACGTGGATTTTAACTGTTCTATGCAGTAATATTGTTTTAAATAGTCTATAATAAATATAACGATAATAAAATATAACGTTTAGCTCTGACCATATACGTGACTGTATGCACAAGGAAATCTAATGATGTAAATACATGTACTAGTGTAATAATTATTTTAAAGAGGGAATTAGTCAGATAACATTTTTAACAATGATTTTAATTGCGATAACAAAATAATTTAGCAAAAATTAATTTTCTTTAGACAATGTAAACGATAGACCATCTAAGTTCATTTATGACATTTGATCAATTTTATACAGAAAAAGTTGAACAAATTAGGGGAACGGTGTCCTCCACGATGTTTGGTGGTGACAAGGGAGAAATATCATCTCCAAACTTCCCAGACAGATATGCCCTCAACGGCGAAACGTTTACGTATATAATAACCAACCTGGACCCATATGGCAGAATCCGGATGATATTTGACGACTGGGATTTAGCGTCCGCCAGTACATTACAGGTATGATCACTATTTAAAGACGTGTTCTAGAAATCACACTTGAATACCGGATGTAGCAGTCATCAAGCAGGTAGGAGGTAGCATGCAATTGACCAGATTCTGCCGCAAGGTGAAAACACCATCAAAGCCAATCCACTCCTTGTACCGTATTTTGCAGACGTCAGTTAGGAAGGTACTTTGGTAATACACTAAATGACAAGTAATCAGGGTTAATGCACGTGCCAGCAGGTGTTAACTTCAACAAGAGTTGTGCTGACTCTGATTAATTGGAAGGAATGGATTATTAGGACCGTATACTCTAATCTTCACTGTCACATCCAAAGCTTATTATTTTCTGTTTTTATGTTATTAAGAAGTTTCTTTGAAATTTATGTGATTTTGTCTTTGAAAGATTGCGTAATTGAATACAAGATTCATCTTAAGTGGAAATAATTTCACACCCTCCAAGCCATTTTCTTTAATTTGCATGTACTTTCAAATTTTATCACAATATTCAGACAGAATTGTCAGCAATTACTATAAAAAAAAGTCGCACTGTACTTAATTAGAAAAATATATATAATGTAGATGCTCCTTTAAACAAATAAAGATATAAATATTTGTTTCTATATACATTTCAATTGAAAGCTTTTAGATTTAAATTGCATGTCTTCCACAGTTTTATGTGTGCATTTGTCACATTAAATTTTTACTTAATAGACTTATATATACAATGAAACATATAACTTCGCCTTCAGATAAGGTTAAATCCACAAAGAATAAATTTTCCCGTGTATCTTAGCAATGTATGTCATGAAATAGCAATAAAATGCTATAATTACGGAGAATAAAATATATAATCCTCATTATAATCGTCTTTAAGGATCATATTAGATGGCAGCCAAAAGCTTAAAAAAGATTACTCTTTTTGGTTATATCCCACCTTCTCCCTGAAGGTTAGATATTCCGGTTCAGATCTTTTAACGCAAATAAAACTTAAAACCTGTTAATTTTCCTTTTTTGTTAAGGTATATGATGGTCCACGCACAATTTCACCATCAAAGGTATACACTCGGCATGAGCGACCGGTCTTGGTTTCCAAATCGAGCACAATTATCCTCGTTTTTAACACCGGAAGTTCCAGTCATCGGTGCTGCCACCCAGTGGGATGGAAGGCTAGCTATCAGTTTGTTTCCAGTAGCCAATGGAACACGATGCCAAGTACAAGTACGATAAAGTTGAAAGACAAACAGTCAATGCAATTAAGGTTCATTGACCCTTTACAAAGAAAGATAACTCTCGCTGGGACAAATGAATGTCATTCCTTTATAAAATAGATGAATTTCACATTCATAAGAGTTATCCCCCTTTGTCGGCGTAACATTCATTTTTGTCACTATATCCTTTGTAACTTACCTGTAAATTAATAGTTTCAACCTTCAAATGGACTCGGACAATTTTGACCCGTTCCTGAATTGCCTTAGTACGGGGCAACATGAAAAGCATAATGAACATATTCAAACGGATTTAATTTGCGAGATACGGCCCCCAAAAGTCGGTAATGTTATAGAGAGAAAACAGTGTCTTACGCCGGTTGACCCCAGATTGACCCTGCAAAGGGAAATAACTTTCGTAAATGTGAAATTCGTCTATAAAATGTCAAGTTGAAAGATTATTACTGCCCCCCCCCCCTTCAATGTATGTTGATATCGTGTTTATTTTTAATAGAAAAATTCGATTTCTTCAATAAAATCATTGGCGTCAAAGCAACATCCCATACGAGTGAACAGAGAGATGATGAGTTTCAATATTATGTTAATATAACCATTCTGTTACCAGAAAAATTGTATTAGTGATATAGCTAATTGTTGTGTTTGAAAATTATGATAAATGTACAAGCTTCTGAACTGAAAAACTTTCTAACAGATTGCAGCAAAATTAAGGAATATAAATCGGGAGGTGTTCTTAATCTGGATTACCTGACACCAAGTTTACCAGGCATGTTCGACTGCATCTGGATCATAAGGAAACCTGCTAAGAAAAATCCAGATGGGATCCTTTTAAGATTAACAGAAATTGTATTTGGTCAAGGTAATTTTTCTGATTTTGAATTCATTCAATTTATATGTATTTCATTAACTAACAAATTGTATTCATTTTAAATTGTCTTTGCGTTTCTAATGAAGCATTTCTGAACTATTGTTAATTCATGTTTCATTACATTAAGGATGGGCAGAATATCCCGATAATAGCGTAGAGATTATAAGTGGAACAACATCCAGGGGTGAAGTATTGGGCAGATATTCCGCCACAAATATGACCATTGGTCATTGGTTCAGCCCAGGTTCCAGTTTGTATATAAGACTTCGGGGGGCGATATCAGCCGAGGACCGACTTAACTTCATTTATACAGCTGTGGATAATGTTACGGAGGGTATGTTGTTCAAATGTATTGGATTCAAAGAAGATGGGTGAACAAGGCGTGCAGAATGCCTATAGCTTCAGATATTTAAAAAAATATATTCAATATATGTGAATTAAGTATTTAAAGTAAAGTTCTCATTATTGAAATTTATGAAGTTATGATCAACAAAACTTTTCTGAGGAAAAAAGATCTCGGGAAAAAATTATTCTTTTATTAAAAAAATAAAATTGTATTCGTGGGATTCGAACCCCTATCAATAAAAAACATTATGCTTTGAGACTAACACGCTAATCACTACGCTACACAGCTCCTGATGAATATTGGCATTTAAATCATATTTGAGATATCACCCTTGACTTAATGGACTTCCAGTATTTCTCGGAAAGATGCGAAAGCTTTGTCATAAAAGTGTATTTTTAAGGTATAGTGGGTCTTTGCTCCATGTTTTTGTAAACCAAAAAATGTATATTTTTATGCAAACTTTTAGGATTAACTTTCAAAAATATGGAGTAAAGACCCACTCATATCGAAAATTTTGTTAAAGTATGAGAAAATGATCCTTTTTATCCTCTTTAGTGTGTGTGTGCTCTTTCGTAGGCGAATAATTTCAGTCTTTGTGAGATTTTTGTAAATTGTAGAGATTTTACATAAAGTATACTTTAACAATAGATGAAATATCGAAGAAAATTTTTTTTATGCGATTTTATTTTTCACTTCATGTTTGTCGCACTATAGGCACTTCGCGCGCCTTGTTCACTTCTTTATATTGGTTAGAGCTGAATCATAAATCTTATTTTTAAAGCCTTATACAAGTAAATCTACAATGGTTCTCTATTATGAAATTAAAATGTTTTTTTTTTTCTACAGCCGACAGGTTCTTGAAAATAAAATATATGAACTATATAACTTCGCTCAAGCGAAGAAACATGAAGAATTAAGCGAGAGATACGCTCAAAACTGTTTTTTTTTTTCATTAAAAAAAAAAAAATATAACGTCTATACATTTAAGGAGGCTGGGGGTCAACAAATTAACCACAAATTAACCACCAGATTTAACTTAATTTTTTAGATATGATATCTTAAGCTGTCAACTATCATTTGGCAAAGAAAAATTTCAAAAATTTTAGTTTTAAAATTTGATCATTTTCTATATCTTCATATGGAGCTCTTCTTCTAAAGGAGATCAATATAGTCTAAAAATGGCCACAACCCCCCAGCCTCTTTAATCAAAATTTCAAAATATTTTGACCCACTACTTTATGGCATCAAATATTTCAAATTTTAGTATTTAACATTGTGTAATAACTATTTCATTAGTATTTCAAATGATGACTTTGCCACATTTTGATTTTATGGGGGCGAGTGAAAAGTCACAACCTCTATTATCATATAGAGTATATGTTTTTAAACAAATTGTAGCTGGGTGTCCTAGACGAGGCGACTATCTGTGTAAAAATCTGTGGTGTATCGATAAGTCCCTGAGATGCGATTCTGTCGATCATTGTGGAGATAATTCGGACGAAAGTCCTGACAAAATCTGCCAGTATGAAGGTATATTTAATATTTATGTGCAGGAAATGTTACTTTTGTTTTAGCCTAAACTTAATAAGTTGACAATTTTACAAATTTTGTGGCATCTAGGTACGCGCCAGTACATGTTCTTTTTTCGTGTATTGCTTTCATTGTAATCTGAACACTTTAATTTTAATCTTTCAGAAATTTGGAAACTAGGAATAAGGTGGAAACTTTCAGGTAAATAATCGTATTACCAGTATTCTTTACTGGACTTAGAAGATAGATCGCTGTTATCTTCACCTTTTACATTTTAAATATAATTGTTCTAGCCTTTCATATAAAGTTATTTGCAATACATAAATAATGATAATTATGTATTTTGATTTTATCTTTTCAATTGATTCACTGATATCTATTTATTGTATATTTAGATCAACCTGCATTCATATAAAATATCAAATTTGACTTATCATACTATTAGATTCATCAACAAAAGATCCATGCGCGGGAAATTTTAAATGTGGCGGGAACAAATATGATTGCTTGCCCATGTCACGTGTCTGTGACAGAATCAGTGACTGTTATGACGACTCCGATGAAAAGTGGTGTGGTAAGATAATTCTGCCTCATTTCATTAAAGAGTGTACTTGTGACTTCGTTATAATTATAATTATTTGTATTTTTGTTTTATAAAGTGAATGGTAATAACATACATCTCAAATACATTTATAATTTCGAGAGAAAACAAAGGAAGAGCGACATCAATTTCTCTTACTATATTAAGGATTTGAATTTAATATTAAATTCTCAAAGCTATTTTACTTAATTTTTACAGCTTATCATTCTAAACAAATCAACGATGAAAGTTCCTCAACATCCTCAAGTTACGATACCAACGCATTGGTACATACTGTTGGACTTTTAATTGTTTATTTCTTTGTCACGTGACCAATAAGAAATTTATAGTTGGATCTCAATCGATGGTCAGCCCGGACCAGAAAGATACATTCCAAGATAGTGCAATTGGAGTTCCTGAAATAGACTTGCTTTGAGTGATACAAATGGGAAAATTCATCCAAGTAGGCTGTTGAGAGGGAAACAAATGAAAATGTCAAGATTGTCTTTCAAGTACATGAAAAACATGTACAAATATTATCCATTCTTTGTATAAAGATAAAGCTAATCTACGTGAAAAAGTGAATGTTTCAGTATACGTTTTGTATCTACTTTCTGATTCAATAAAAACAGTTATATTCTTATTTATTTCAACTTCCGATTTTGATGGCTTGTTTACTTTTGAAGATTTTATCATTTAGTTTAGACCGCATAAAAGATTAGAGAAAAAAAAATCAGAGAGCGGTCCCAAATTGAAATTGAAAATACGTGTACTTTTTGTGATTTATAGGCTTCGGTGAGCACAAAGTTTATGAATCGAAGTAAAATATACACGAATAATATAATATGGGTTAGCGTAATTTGAAGCTTCTACCTTTTCTAGGAAATTTACAATGACAAAGGTTGCAACTTATTCATTCTGTTCGATGTGGGTTATCTGTCCATGAATAAATACAACAGCCTTGGTTGTCTTTGAATATCATGAGTGTCTGAAGATCTGATCAATCGGTCCTATGAATTCTCAATCGGGACCAATAAGACAATATATTCTTTAATCAAGTGAAAGACTTTGTTCATTATCTTATTCAATTAACATAAATCTGTCTCCTATATCAGTATATATGCCGATATGTACACGCTCAGAGGAAAATTTAAAAGATGCTTAATGCAATAAATGTATTTTCAATATTCTTTTTTCTTATTTTCAATATTCTTTTTTTATGATCAACTTGAGTCTGACGACAAAAACAAAAGCACAAATTTTACAAAGGAGATGGGCGAACATAGCGTGCAGAAAGCCTATAGCTTCAGATATATAAAAATCATGTTCAGTTTGTGCATTTAGGACTAAGAGTAAAGGCCTCATTATTGAAATTTATGAAATTATGATAAACAAAACTTTTCTGAGGAAAATTTTCTCGGCAAAATTTTTATTCTTTTATAAAAAAAAATTAATGTGGTATTCTTGGGGTTCGAACCCTAGCAATAAAAATCCTAAGTATCATTTTCTTTCGAGACTAGCACGCTAACCACTAGCTATAGACTACACAAGTCCTGATTAAGGGTGGCACTTAAATCATGTTTGTGATATGACCCTTGACTAAATGGACTTCAAGTATTTCTCGAAAAGATGCGAATGTTATGTCATAAAAGTATATTTTTAAGCTATAGTGGGTCATTGCTCCATATTTTTGGTAACCAAAAAATGTATATTTTTATGCAAACTTTGAGGATTAACTTTCAAAAAGGTGGAGCGAAGACCCACTCATATCGAAAAATAGTGTTATAGTATTAGAAAATGACTCTTTTTGCCCCCTTTAGTGTGTGTCTAATATTTCACAGGCAAATAATTTTAATCTTTGGGGGATTTTTTCAAATTGTAGAGATTTTACATAAAGTATATTTTAATGTTAGACGAAATATCAAGGAAAATTTTGATATAATTGAAATTTAATTTTTCATCTTCATGTTTGTCACACTATAGGCTTATCGCTCGTCATGTTCACCCATCTCCTTTATATAGCTCACTGTTATCAGTAGACAATTTCATTGCTAATTTTACAGGAGTAAATGAAAGATATAATGTGTTCTAAATATATGACCAACTTAGCCCATCTGCTGGGCCTGAACCCAGGGGACATGAATGGTACATTACTATCCGCTCAATATACATGTAATTGTGCTTGCAAACAGTTTGTCTGCTATAACATATAATTTTTAAAGTAGATTTTGCAAAGTGAAATATATTTTTGATATGTCTAGCTTAGTCCTGCTCTGAGGCTTAACACAGAATTCAGACACTGGCATGGAGTCAGCTGCTAATTAAAATCATGCAAACTGTTTAATGTTAGTATATGTCCAGAAAGACTCAGGTGACCAAAAATGGAATAAATATCTCTTAGATCTGTTTTCAAACATCTTACTTTTTAACAATGAATTCTCAATACATATACATGTAATTTCTTATCTGCAAATAGAAATAATGAACATATTAATTATAGTGACATTTTAACTACCTTGCATTTACTTTGAATGAATGCTAATAATTCTTGTGCAGGAAGAAATAGCACCTGCAAGGCATAACCGTGCAAACTGTCATTTCTTTTATTCAGCTGTTTGTATCAATTTATATACGCCTTTACGCTGTTTTTCTTTTTATGTATTTTTATGTATTTCATTCTTGTCACCATAATGTGGCGGGAACAAATATGCCGATTGCTTGCCCATGTCACGTGTCTGTGACAGAATCACACAGAATCTGTGACACAGTTCTCTATACAAAAATATTCTTTGGCATAATTTCAATACTATTATAGTTATCACTTTAAAATGAAAACAATTGCCTAAGATACTGTAAGTTTACGAACTGAATTGGATTTTTATGCGATCGAAGTTGCAGACAATTCTTTCTTTTCCCATCTTCTTAAAGACTGGACCAGAAAACCAACTACATGTACAAGCAAAGGTAATCTTTTACTCATAACGCTTTTTTCTGTATCGCCTGCAGAGCAGAGCGAAACTTATAGGGATCACTTTTCCCGGCGTCCGTGACGTGTCTGTCTGTCTGTCACATCTTATATCTTCAGAACTGTTAGAGTAAATTTATATACGGTGTTTTTTTTATAAGTTCAAACTAACTAAAATTAAAAAGATCTTTCTATTTGTTTTATTACTATATATAAAGATAGGATTTTTCTGTAAATAACACAATTTAAATCAATCACGTTTCAAAGATATTAGAAATCTAAAACAATAACCGATTTATTTACCGACACCGCATTTGAATAAAAGACACAGTTTGAAGTCATTTTAACTATGGAAACATGAGGTTATTCAAGTTCAAAATCGGTAAAAATTTTAATTTGAACGTAAATAACATATATTATGTTTATCTACATTTACACTGAATCTCGTCAATCTCGTATTTTCATATTTTATCTCAGATACGCCATATATAGCTTCAATATTTTGTTCATGTATATTGCTTGGAACAATGGCTTCAGAATACACCATTTGAAGTATATTATTTGACATTTGAGAGGTAAATATGTGCTATTTAGCAAGTGCACTGCTTGTCCTAAGAAATTTTGAAAATACTAGCGTTGTAATAAATACTACCTATCGCAGTCTTACTATCCGTGGATGTTTTTGAACGATAATTAATGCCAGTATGCAATTTAAAAAAAAATGTCCACACCTTACACGTAGCTTTATTTATGTCTTTCATTATGCTATAACAGGCGACACATTTATTTCTTGGAACACTTTAGATTCATGTGTACATGTGTAAGGAAGAAAAAAGTAATAATCAATTATTATATTACTATAAGTATATATGAATGAGCAGGGACGTACCTGTACATGTAGTAAGTTCCTGGAATGAGTAACTTTAATAAAAATTATAATGATTGATTAATTTTGGGTAAGCGACTGAACCCCCCCCCCCCCCCGACCCCCTGGAATTCTATCATGCAGAGAAACATATTGTGTGACAATTTTAAAAAGCGATATTCTTATTTAAACGTTTTCTTCATATAATAAAACATATCTACCTAGTATGGACGGTTTATGCATATTTATCAATCAAGTATTAAGGAATTCTTTCTGGGGGATAATTGATCAAAATTTCCTCCGATAATTCTCATGGAATATTGCAAAAAAAAAAAAAAAAAAAAAAAAAAAAAAAATAGATGATGGAATCTTACAATTTTTTTTTTTCAATTTACAGACAGGGTGCGTTGAATCAAACATCCCCATTTAAGGTTTAAAGAGTTGTCTCTCTTGATAGCACACAGTTACTTTATGTATACTAAGGTATACATCGCAATCAATGAATCTCTCTAGTCATTAAGATTGTATTTTAATTAAAATAATGAAAAAAGGAAATCTTGCAAGTTATTTGGAGTAAAATCATGTGATCATAGGAAAAGATAAACAAAAATTAGTATAATTACCATCATAATCATTTTTTCGTCTTTTAGTTTTACCAAATTTTCAAGCGTCTTGATAACATAGACGAAGCGTTCGCAGAACGAAACCGCCATCCCTGAATTTTTGTTTTTGTGGATCGAACAATCCGCATTAATCATGAAACTTATAAGGTATTGTTTGACACGAAGCGCAGTTATATGGATTATTTATTAATTTTGCACCATTTACATTGCGAAATTCTTGTTGTTTTCATGTCTTATTTGGGTGTTTGTGCATGTATTTTGCCGGCAAAATTGTAAACAATAATCGTCCAGAGCGATTTTTCAAAGTTTCATTATAACAGTGAATATTTAGATTAATTACATTGATCAGTAAACAGTATTTAGCTAGGTAAATAGATATAATCATGAAATTGAGCGTCTGTCACTCAACAATGCAGTGACTTCAAAAGTGAGATGCCAGGCTGGCTCAGGTACTTTGGTCTTGGGTTTAGAGCACAGGTAGTTGGGTCTTGGTTGATAAAAATATATGTACCTTAGGCCTAATTATTGATATGTACAAAAGTAAAAGTATGCAGACTCTATAATGGCATGTGCTCAACTTGCTTGTTTACTTGGCTTGATCTTTGAAAATGATGCTGCATCTACGGATCTTCATGCAACGGAGGTCTTGGAACATTGATTACTTCTTGTAAAAACCCTCACAGCTTGCAAATAATTCCTAAGACATGATTTTCAAACACTTTTTCAAACTTTTCATTAACGTGCCTGGGACTAAATGCAAATACTAAAACCTGAATCAAAAGGACATATTCCGGCCATTCAGACACTTCTAAATTCTAGTAGAGGCTTTTTGAAAATTGAATTATCTCAGAACTATTTTTAAATTGCGTCTGCTCCATTCCCTTATTTACATGGCTTGTTGTATGAAAATGTCATTATGATGCTGCACCTACCGCACTTTAGGCATCAGACATCTGGAGACATTGATGCTTATTATAAAAATCCTCACATTTTGCAAACTTTAATGTTGGATGCACTAAATCGTTATGGTCCTTAGTTGTGCCCCTTCTACAGTGTTTGATAACTCACCATAAAATTAGCCAGACATGCAGGGCTGACTGATAGTTAAAGTTCTCAGCCCTGCCAAATATCTACTAGCCTGAGAAAATAATTATGTTTTATAAATTTGTTCTAGCTATTATTGGTATGTGACTTGGACCAGGTAGCAACAACTTCGATCCCGAATCTAATGATTTCTTCTTCTTGGCTTGTTACACTTTGCTACTGATACTATCAACTGATTTGAGAGAGATTTATAACTTATATGAATTTTACTTATTATATTACTTAATTAAGCACAAAAATTTTAACAAAATTTTTGCAAATTTGTTTGCTCGCTGCAAAATTTTTGAGTATAGGGCTGTCGGGTGCACGGTTATATTAAACACTGCACTTATTTTCTCGAGTATCTTGCAAGATTGTGTCGGCTGCTGCGCCATAAATTGTTTATGATGTAACAGCAATTGTTTTAAGCATCATTTAATTATCTACCAACTAAAACCACAATTTATTTGCCCTGCAAAAAACCAGTACTGTGGTTATGGTGAAAAGGCTAATTAATGGCATGATTATGTTCAGTAGACCTGTAAACATGCACAAGGTACCGCTAAAGTAAAGTAATGAGTTAAAGGCAAAAAATTGATCATATTCAAAATGATTCACTCGCACACCATAATGAAGCTGTTAATAGCTTTTTAATTAATTTACAGATTTTTGATGAAACTGAGCCATGAGACAGTGACTATTGAACTGAAAAATGGTACACAAGTGCATGGAACAGTCACAGGTAAGTATCAGAGGTTTTTTTTTGCACTTAATTGTGAGATAATTCATTGTGAATAGATAAGACAAATCATTATGAATAGATGGTTTTAATAAACTACCAGTATATATGTAAACATAATAAGGTTTTATGCACAGGGGCTTTTTTTCTGGATGATGTGATATTCATTCTTTTATGTCTGTCTTAATATGATGAGTAAATGACCTATACAAACTGAAAAAAACGAAGTTGTTTGTGGTTTCTCTCTGTGAAATGGAGAGATGTACAGAATAGCAGCTATGGTTCTCCATAGGATTTGAACTAGAAGGTGGAAATTAAAAGTATGGGGGGATCCCCCATCACTGAGTGCCAGAATAGCAGGGAAGTTGCATCATTATAGACGGCAATATTCCTCGGCCCCAGGACTTAAGGACGACCCTAGAATATGCAAGGAAAATTTAGAAAGAAAAGAAGTTTGACACAGATTTGGCTTCTTTTCTCTTCAGAATTTTGTGCTTGTATTCAATACACCTCTGCTACTTCGGTTGCTTTAATTACTTTGCTAGGTATTAAGGAAGTTTTGGTTCACTGCATCTTTAAAACTGCATGTGCAAATGGGTAGACATCTAGACAATAGGAAGAAGTTGATCAATGATATTCAAAGCTCTATCTCACCCAAAATTGGTAGATATTTAATAAAATCTACTTCGAATGAAAGTCCCCATTCATCAAAAAGTAGAAGGACGACACTTGCCATTTTGTAGATACTAAGATGGTGAGTGTTGTCCCTCTACTTTTTTAGTATATATAGAAATATGTTTTTAAAAATGCTAATTTCAGCTTTTTTCAGTTTAAATTTTACTAATTATAGTTAGTCATAAAAGAAAGCAGAATTATCAATATTATCAGTACAGTCCACAACCCTGAAACTGAGCCTTTGTGGTTTTATGTTTATATGTTTTATATATATTTCTTGTGCAAATGGTTCTTAACATGCTTAGTTTTTCTGCATACTCCTTTTATTAATGATTAAGAATTTATGTTTAGGTGTTGATGTGTGTATGAATACCCACCTGAAAGCAGTTAAAATGACCATCAAGAACAAAGATCCAGTACAGGTGGACACGCTCAGCATTCGTGGTAACAACATTCGATATTACATTCTGCCAGACAGTTTACCATTAGATACTTTACTTATTGATGACACCCCAAAAGCAAAAATGAAGAAAGGAAGGGATGGTGGTAAGCTTTTTAAATTTGGATCTCGTATAACTATAATGTTAGGTGTAACAATATGGTTAAGGCGTATTAGTGTATATTATGATACACTGGGACTGTATGATGATATGTAGTGCGATATTTCACCTGTCATGATTTTTCATAAAGTTTGTGTATGTTCTGAAATGAGAATTATCTATCCAGATGCGAGGGGACAAAAGATGTAGGTTATTTCTAGTTCACATATTGTAACATTTTGTAATATTTAATAGGATCCAAACACAAAATAAAAACATGAAAAGTAAATAAAAAATTGTGATACACAGATATATGGTTTTTGTACTAGAATTCAGTACAGTTTTTGTGAAGATTGTAAACTGTTAAATCGTTTTACTATACCATTATATTGGTATATTATTATACTCCTAATATTGTATGTAAACTAGAGTTATGTACATGTAATGTATATAAAATGGCTGAAATAAAATGCTAAAAGCCTTCCCCAAAGAAATCTCCTACAAAAAATTAGAAAACTATTAAAAAAATGTTCTTGTTTTTTTTTTTATTGTTGCATTTGAAAAGAGCAAAAGAAGGGCTGGCACATTTTTTCAATTTTTTAGGGTAATTTTTGGGGAGTTTTTGAAAATTTTGCATTCTTATACATATATTAATATATTTCTTATTTTTTGAATTTAACATATCTCACCATTAATTTACATGTACTTGATGCTTCAACTTTGTATCACATTTATAAATCATATAACATTATTAAATTAAAAAAAAATGATTATGGTATTTGTTTCCAGCAAGTTTTTATTTGATATTAAATGATTCAGATAATAGTTTGAATTCAAGAAATGCAGTCCAGAGAAACAGGTGAAATTCCACTTGTGATGCATGTAGAAATTACAAAACTGTAGAAAATAATTTGTAACATTTGATATAAATATTTGAATGTTTCTGTAACCTATTAGAATTCATCATCTAATTTGAAGCATTCACACTGTGACTATATACATGTATGCCATGATATCTGTTAGGTCATACTGAAATTTATACTTTTCATATTTGCAGTTAAGCACATTTATAGAAAGAGAACATTCCTAGTTCTAACTACTGAAACGTTTCTTTCATTTCAGGTATGCGAGGAGGTCGTGGTGGTAGAGGGAGAGGCCGAGGAGGGAGAGGGGGTAGAGGCAGGGGCCGGGGTAGGAGATAAACTGGTGTTCTTGGGAGTTTTGCAGCAGGAGTGAGAGAAAACAGGATGTGTGCTTCAAAGGATGGGAGTTACTTATGGTAGAAGAAAGTGTGAAAGTCTTCATAATCATGAACAGAGATGATTTCATTTTTTTTATGTGAACAGTCAATCACCTTGTGTTATCTTAGTATAATGGTGAAATATTGTATAGGTTTATTCAGTGTTCATATACATCCATGTGACTTGATAGGTGCATTTCTTCATTACATAGAGTTATGTAAAATCAAGTGGAGTTACTTTTCCTTGTGCAAGAAATGAGACTGCATACATGTAAGCTTGCAGTCATTATTGAAATGTTGTATAAAATTGAAAGTTCTGTATAGTTTAGTTTTTTGTTAATCATGGAGGAGCAACCCATATTCAGATATTCTGGGTTTTTTTTAACGGTGTCTTTCTTCTGACATCCCTGTTGAATGATGGAGAACAGAGTATGTGCAAAGTCTTACTATATATATTATTAGTAGCCCAATAGAGTTTTAATATTGTAAGATGAAATAGAATGATAATAACACACTATTTTGTTTAATATTATAATAATAGTGATTTTTAAAAAAAAAATCTGATCAAAGACTACCGGCATCTGTTTGTCCTCATCTTTAAATTTTTCATATTTTCAACATCTTCTCCAGAACCAAAGGGACAAATTCAACCATGCTTGCCAGAATGCATTATTGGGTGAAAGGGATTCATGTTCAAGGTAATAGCCACATACCCTCTTTAAAGAGAACCATTAAGAAATGGTATAAATTTGATGGTGTCAGGTGAAAATCTTTCTCTCAAGAAGCACTTGGCCAGAAAAGGTAAAACTTGTATGAAAGCTTCCAGAGAGTGTACATTCAAATTTGTTCAAATCATGGCCCCAAGAAGTAGGTTGGGGCCACAATAGGGGACCCAAGTTTTACATTTAAATCTTCTCAAGAACAGCAGGGCCATGATTATTAGTGATATTAATATGCAAGCATCCTCAGGTAGTACAGATTAAAATTGTACAAATCATGGTGCTGGGTTGAACAATGTACAATAGGGGATCAAAGTTTTACATGGGAATGTATATTGAAAAATCTGTTTAAGAACTGTAGAGCCAGAATATAAATCAGTTTATTATACAAGCATCCCCAGATGTGTAAATTTAAATTCATTCATACATGGTTTATGATAAAGGATAAAATATTCAAATGGAATACATAGGAGAAAACATCTTTTAAGAATTTTGTTGAAAACAGCGTTTTTAGCTCACCTGAGCCGAAGGCTCAAGTGAGCTTTTCTGATCACATTTTGTCCGTCGTCCGTCCGTCTGTCTGTCTGTCCGTCCGTCTGTAAACTTTTCACATTTTTGACTTCTTCTCAAGAACCACTGGGCCAATTTTGACCAAACTTGGTACAAAGCATCCTTGGGTGAAGGGGAATTTAAATTGTTAAAATGAAGGGCCAAGTCCCCTCACAAGGGGAGATAATCAAGAGAAGACAAAAATAGGGTGGGGTCATTAAAAAATCTTCTTCTCAAGAACCACAGGGCCAGTAAAGCTGAAACTTATATGGAAGCATCCTGGGGTAGTGTAGATTCTAAATTGTTCAAATCATGACCCCCGGGGGTAGGGCGAGGCCACAATGTGGAATCAATGTTTTACATAGAAATTTATAGGAAAAATCTTTAAAAATCTTCTTCTCAAGAACCACAGAGCCAGAAAAGCTGAAACTTATGTGGAAGCATCCTGGGATAGTGTAGATTCTAAATTGTTCAAATCATGACCCCCTGGGATAGGGCAGGGCCACAATAGGGAATCCAAGTTTTACATTGAAATATATAGGAAAAATCTTTAAAAATCTTCTTCTCAAGAACCACTGAGCCAGAAAAGCTGAAACTTATGTGGAAGCATCCTGGGGTAGTGTAGATTCTAAATTGTACAAATCATGACCCCCGGGGGTAGGGCAGGGCCACAATAGGGAATACAAGTTTTGCATTGAAATATATAGGAAAAATCTTTAAAAATCTTCTTCTCAAGAACCACTGAGCCAGAAAAGCTGAAACTTAAGTGGAAGCATCCTGGGATAGTGTAGATTCTAAATTGTTCAAATCAGGACCCCCGGGGGTAGGGCAGGGCCACAATGTGGAATCAATGTTTTACATAGAAATTTATAGGAAAAATCTTTAAAAATCTTCTTCTCAAGAACCACAGAGCCAGAAAAGCCGAAACTTATGTGGAAGCATCCTGGGGTAGTGTAGATTTTAAATTGTTCAAATCATGACCCCCGGGGGTAGGGCGGGGCCACAATAGGGAATCCAATTTTTACATTGAAATATATAGGAAAAATCTTTAAAAATCTTCTTCTCAAGAACCACTGAGCCAGAAAAGCTGAAACTTATGTGGAAGCATTCTGGGATAGTGTAGATTCTAAATTGTTCAAATCAGGACCCCCGGGGGTAGGGCAGGGCCACAATAGGGAATACAAGTTTTGCATTGAAATATATAGGAAAAATCTTTAAAAATCTTCTTCTCAAGAACCACAGAGCCAGAAAAGCCGAAACTTACGTGGAAGCATCCTGGGGTAGTGTAGATTTTAAATTGTTCAAATCATGACCCCTGGGGGTAGGGCGGGGCCACAATAGGGAATCCAATTTTTACATTGAAATATATAGGAAAAATCTTTAAAAATCTCCTTCTCAAGAACCACCGAGCCAGAAAAGCTGAAACTTATGTGGAAGCATCCTGGGATAGTGTAGATTCTAAATTGTTAAAATCATGACCCCCGGGGATAGGGCGGGGCCACAATAGGGAATACAAGTTTTGCATTGAAATATATAGGAAGAATCTTTAAAAATCTTCTTCTCAAGAACCACTGAGCCAGAAAAGCTGAAACTTATGTGGAAGCATCCTGGGATAGTGTAGATTCTAAATTGTTCAAATCATGACCCCCGGGGATAGGGCGGGGCCACAATAGGGAATACAAGTTTTGCATTGAAATATATAGGAAGAATCTTTAAAAATCTTCTTCTCAAGAACCACTGAGCCAGAAAAACTGAAACTTATGTGGAAGCATCCTGGGATAGTGTAGATTCTAAATTGTTCAAATCATGACCCCCGGGGATAGGGCGGGGCCACAATAGGGAATACAAGTTTTACATTGAAATATATAGGAAGAATCTTTAAAAATCTTCTTCTCAAGAACCACTGAGCCAAAAAAGCTGAAACTTATGTGGAAGCATCCTGGGATAGTGTAGATTCTAAATTGTTCAAATCATGACCCCGGGGGTAGGGCGGGGCCACAATAGGGAAACATTGAAATATATAGGAAAAATCTTTAAAAATCTTCTCAAGAACCACTGGACCAGAAAAATTGAAACTTATGTGGAAGCATCCTGGGATAGTGTAGATTCTAAATTGTTAAAATCATGACCCCGGGGGTAGGGCGGGGCCACAATAGGTATTACAAGGGGGGAAGTCTGGTAATGAACAGCATGGCCAAAGTTACTCAGGTGAGCGATGTGGCCCATGGGCCTCTTGTTTATTTTTGTTACATGTATGTGCAGATAATTTAAATCAAATAATAACAAACAAAACATCAAATACTTAGCAATCCCATTTTTCATTTTCTTCTTTTTTAATGATTCAGGCTACATTAACTGTACAATATCCCGCCAATATACATATTTTAAAGTTTATAATGGAATGAAATTGGTGCATAGGGCGTTCAATACAAGGTAAATTTGCAACGACTAGCATATTTTGAAGAGTCGATGAAATCACAGAAATGAATTTTTCAGATCCCTTACAAATGCAAATTATATATTTTAAATTTACTACCATCCAGTAAATTCAAAACTGAAGTATGATTGTACATGATATACATGTAATTATGTGAAACCGGGAGTATTAAAAATTCATGATCAGACTGTCTCCTGTGTGTAGTTTTCCGAGTGAGTGGTTTTAATCATACATCTCTTTAAAAGAAGATCCAAAGGAAGCAGATTCACTTCACTTCTTTTTACATGCATAAGAAGGGAACACAATCTTATATTCTTATGAATGTACTACAAAGAAATATTTACCAAGTATAGTTCATGCAGGAATTTACCTTGAATTGGTTTATGTAATCTACCTGTCTCGCTTATATTTAAGGGTTCATATATCACACAAAAGGATCCTCTCCTCTGGGTGATAATATATGCATTGCAGGATCTTAAAATTTTACTTGTGTAAATATAAGGACATCAGCTTTTCTTCCTTGTCATTATATTATGTGTGCATTGTAAGTCTAAATTTAAATGTGTTCAAGCGGTTGAAGATACAGTCATGGAAATTGTATATGCTGAACTTGTTTTCGACGAGGGCTCAAAGAACTCGTGCCATACAGCATTCTGTGTGTTCGAGGAATTCGATGATGATAAAAAACGACAATCTGCATCCAGTGGAGAAATCAGCATGGTGGACGTAGCAGCGCAACGCATTTCAACAATTTCCACCTCGTCGGATATGAGCATTCAAACATTCGTGGAAATGGAAGACGAATTGGACATGGAAGAATGTGTCCATTTTCTAAATGAAAAATGGAAGGAAGACGACCATGACACGTGTACTTACGTCTGTTCAGGTATAACGGAAACGGGGGATGGAAAAATCATCATTACGACCAAGAGCGGAGAAATGGCTTTGTATGGAGCTTCTGGAAAATTACTGTCTTTGAAGGAATTCTCGGAGACTTTTGAAGGTTTAACAAAGACATCCAAAGACGAAGTTGCCGTCTCTTGTGGCTACTCTATAAGGTTCTATAAAGTGGAGAAGAGCAAAGTACACGAGGAAGCTAAAAAATGCATAGACTTTAAGTATACTGATATGGTAAAAGTACACGATATTCATTACAGTGACGGAAGTTTCATCATTCTTTGCAAAATATTTTCACAAAGTTCGATAAAAAAGATAGATATGAAAGGAAATACCCTACAATTGGTTTATCAAACATCAACTTCTGTGGACAGTTTCTGCTATTTTGGGGAAACTCTTTTTGTCATTGAAAAAGATCAAAGAAAAATAAGCGCCATGAAACAAAATGGTGACTTAAGCTGGGAGCTTACACTTGATTATTCACCAAGATATTTGACTATTGCTGGGGAAGACAGAGTTGTTGTGTCTTTAAGTGGAAGACCAGATTTAAAGTGTTTAACCATGACCGGGTCTGTTTTGAGTTCAGTTGACACTGGCCTTGACCCTTCTCAGACACCATTGCTGCTGTGTTATTCTACTGAGTCAAATTCGATGTATTTCTGCCCCGAAGAGGTCAAGAAGATAAAATCGTCAAGGAAGAACCCATTTTCAAAAATTCTTTCATCTATGAAGTTGGATTAGAGTTTTATTAAAAGGCGCATATTTATGTAGATATTTGAATGAATTTGCCATTTACGAAACATTTTAAGAATGAAAGTTCACAGAGGTGAAATAGATTTTGACTTTTCAGCACTTTCCTTGTATGTTTGCCAGGATTGATTGTAAATGCACACGTGTACCGGCGTAAGTGACACAATAAAGTATGCAAATAAATTGCTTTGGCACTGTCTATAGGTGAAATTGATGATTCATTTTAAATGTATTTATTATGACCATAGTAGAAAATTCACATACATTTTGAAGGTAGTCATTTATCTAATGGTATTTATTAATTTCGTATCTTAATTAAGAGAATGTTTTCTAAGAACACAAAGATATTGTTGACTTGAAAGGAAGTACTTTATGTAAGAGGAAGAAAATTGTGGCGTTTTTGGTTTCCCTTTTACTTTTTTTTGTATTTACTTCCTTATTTCAAAAGAATGTACACATATGTGACTGTTTTGCCCAACATGGATTTTATTTTGTAACTAGTACTGTCAAACATTGTAACCATCATCCATGGCTATTAAAAATAGAATTTTCTGTAAAATTCTTTCAAAAGGCTACTCCTCCTACTGTTTTGGTCATCTTATCTCAAAAAAAAAAGACTAAACCAAGGATCATTATTCTAATTAATGCTGTTGCAAAGTTTCATGTCCAACCCAGAAGTGCTACTTTTCCCTTCCTTTGTAATAAATACTTTAATTTTATGAGGATAAATATTTATAAAAGTAAATCATTATGTATTGTTTTAAACTGAATATGAATAAGTAATGTGGATCCAAAAATTTGAGGGTGGAGAGCTACAGTCTCGTCGGAGACTTCTGGTTCTGTTATTAATGGTGAAAACACGTCTAATTTACATACTGATAAAATAAATGGCAAAGGGAGCGTGTATTTCTTAGTCAATGTATGCTGATCAGTATACCCAGACCCGTACAATGTAGGAAGCAATTTCAGTTTGGGGGGGGGGGGGGGGGGGGCACAACCATACGCTTTCAGATTTTCAGTTGGGGGGGGGGGACTATCAACTACCAAAAATTCCTTGACAAGCAAAAAAAAAAGGGGGGGGGGGGCATCACACGTTTTTATGGCTATGTTTTCTATAGTATTCTATATATCGGCAAAATTATTGGGGGGGGGGGGGCACGCCCCCCGTGCCCCCCCTCCCCGGTTCCTACGGCCATGATACCACAGGTCGTGCCAATAATTATGCTAGTATATGTATAATTATACATGCATGTATTTATACAGTAGAAAAACCAATGCTTATCCCTCAAATATTACGTTTGATGGATTTTTTTCTGTTTTTATTTCTTTTTGTTTGTTTCTTGTCAAGGAATTTTGTACCTTCCCAAAAAGCACACAAGCTGTAGTATTGTATAGCAGTTGTCTCGCTTTACTTATGTCAAAAAATTAGCAACTTTTTAAATATGTGTGAATAAAGTTCAAATTTTATAAATTGTTGAACGAAACATTTCTTTTTGGTCCTAGTCATGGACACCTGGAAAACTTTATGTGCACACATGTCCCATATATTAGATGAACAAGTCGAATAATAGTATATTTACACAAGTAAAATTGATGCAAAACATCAAATCGGCCGCAAAGAAATTTAAGCATTTTAAAAAGTACTTTCACGAGTACTGAAGTAAGCATCCAAGAAAAATGCAACACTTCCTTCAAAAAAAAAAAAAAAAAAAAAAAAAAAGCGAGATGAGTAGAAAGGTACCAGTCCTGCTTTCAGTGCATTTGCTAACCATCGATATTAAAATTGGTGATAAATGATGAGAATGTATCTTCTGATAACAAATAGGATCAACTTTCCACGTGCAAATTCTTTGGATGTCATTTCATTCAGTTTTGAAAGTACAACAATGTAGGATATATTATACTTATATACTGAGTATATTCTGGTTTTGAAGTCAAGACAACAAAGAAAGTTATGGTTATTGAGATTTCTGTCCCAGCCAATCAGAACAAAGCACACATGCATGCACATGCGTTCATGCTAATTCAACCACGTCACCCTGTCATGACTACTAATGCATGTTTATATGTTGACAGAGTAATTTAGAAAGAAGTATGACAGAGATATTTCAGTAAATGACCTTCGTTTCGCACATCTACACAAAGTCGCCCGCGTGGCGCAGTGGTTAGAGCGTCTGCTCTAGAGTTCGCGGAGTTAGGAGCTGATCCTTACGTCGCGGGTTTGAAACCACTGCTGGACGTGGAGACCGGTCCTATAAACCGAGCTCCCCTGTCGCAGTAGGTTTTGGCACGAAAAAGACCCCTCACTGCTCAATGGCCCTAAGTGCCAAGTATACATTATGTAGGTATAAATTTGCAGCCCTCCACCGGCAAGTGATGGCGTCACCATATGAGTGAAAAATTCTCGAGAGGGACGTCAAACAACAAACAAACATCTACACAACATGCCTATTAAACCTTAAAAAGGTTTCATCTCAATTGGATGAGCTGTTTCCGGGAACACTCGCGGACAAAAAAAAAAAAAAATAAATAAATAGAATAAAACAAGCATTCTGAGAGTATTGCATTAGCAATACTAGTCCCCTACCGGCAAGTGTAATCTGGTTCCCTTTAAGAATTGAAAATGCCATAATTCCATCAAAAATCAATGAAGCGGGACGAAATGCAAACTTGATCTATAACTAATCAAGGTAAAGTCATATACCAAAAATCAGCTCAATATCTGAAAGCGTTTAGAAGAAAATTGCGGAAAACCCTTAAAAATTGAAAAGGCCGTAATTCCGTCAAAAGTCAATGAAGCGGAACGAAATGCAAACTTGTTCTGTAACTCATCAAGATACACTCACATACCAAAAATCAGCTCAATATCTACAAGCGTTTAGGAAAAAAGTGCGGAAAACCAAGTGGGACAGACAGAGGGACAGACAGACAGACAGACGGACGGACAGACTCAGAGGAAACCTAAAGTCCCCTCCGGTTTCACCTGTAGGGGACTAATAAATAATTAAATAAATAAATTAGTAAAAGAATCAAAGTAATGATAATATGTTCCCAACTTTGTTGAGGGAACACAACTAGCAATGTAGATAATCACTCAGTTGAACACGTTACTGTGAGATAATATATAAATAGTGCACGTTTTTGAGGGTAACAGTTGAAATTGACACCCCAAGGAAAACCATTGTCAACCCCCGCTGACGCGTCGGTTGACAATGGTTTTCCTTGGGGTGTCAATTTCAACTGTTACCCTAAAAACGTGCACTATTTATTTTATTATACTGAATGTCTTATTGATTTCGGATGTCAAAAGAAAAATTCGGAGATCGTCGTTGAGTTCACGCTTAGAAAGCTTTCAAACTCCCCGCTTCTATTTTTCTCGATAAAAAAGCTTCGGAAAAGATTTACCAACCTTTTTATTGTTTGTTTGCTACTCAAAAAGTCCTTTATCGTCTAAAGTTTGCATTCGCAAGGATGTTTCGTCTGTCGTTTGTTGTTTTCAAGTAAGCTACATCGGACGCATGCTTTTATTGACGTCGTTTATTCGGCTTCTTTCAAACGCACAACTGACGCTTTGAGAATTCTACGGTGAACCGTACGCGCATGATTTGAACGCATGTGATATTTTCGTAATGTTACCCGTTGTCAAGTGTGTTGCTAACGCTGAGGGTAACATTACGGATTGTTAAATGCGTCTAAACCAATCAGATTTTGGTATTTAACATGAAAGTATAATAATATTTAATGAAAAATATGTGACTATTTATTTAGTAATAATCCAATATTACCATTTTGGGAGGCGCGAAGAACTATTGATGCATGTGTTTATAATGATTCCAGAGGACTGGTTATGTCTGATTTTATTGTGTTTCTATAGAAGTTATGATGTATGCGTTTACTTTGATACAAATGAAAGAACTAAATACATCCCACGTACATGTAGGAAAATCTCCAGTAATAAGCTTGGACTATTTTTCTATGACAAGTCTTTGAAATTTTTAAAATTCAATAAAATTTTAATTTTGGGGGAAAAAACTTAATTCAGAATTAATACATATTAATAAATACCGATTCCCTTATTAAATTCGACTTTTTAATTCAGAGCTTTTTCACAATCTCACGAAAGAGATTAAGATTTATTATATTCTTCTGTGTAGCGGGTTTGCATTACAGCAGGGACATTTTAAAATGAAAATGTTTGTTTGTTTTAACAAGTAAGATGGTTTTGTAAGGACTTTAAAGCAACGAAGCGAGGAAAACCTAGTAAAAAAAATTTAGTATAGTAAACTTTAATTCACTATAGTTATAGTTAATATAGTAAATACTATGATACTTTGATATGCAACTTTACTTTAGAACTTTTTTTTTTAAATTAAATGTTTAAAATTTCTGAAATTCAATTCCAATGATGTAAAATTTCTAAATAATATGTTAATATTCAAGTAAAATTTCCATTTAATATTACAAATTATGCATGTATAGAACTTAAAATATAACGATCTGAAATCCATAGTAAAAGTACTTTGATTCACTGTTGTAAAAACTTTGATTTACTATAGTTAAACCTTTAATACTATGGTTAACCAGGCGCGTAGCCAGAATGGAAATGATGTGTACGCAGAGAACGGCAGGGGGTGGGATGGGGGGTTTTGAGCCCCCCCCCCCCCCCCAGTGTGTCAAGGGCTCTGGTTAGGCACGTAATATAGTTTTTGCCAGCCAGGAAAAAATTATAACTTTTAAAAACTTTGACAAGCAAGGAAGAAAACAGTCAAAATTTGAAGTCCTATTTCTTGTGTGTGTTTGGGGGGGGGGGGGGGTGTCAACTTTCACAAACCAAAGTTTATTAATTTATGCTACAACAAACGGGGGGGGGATCCTTTAAATGTGCATTTTCAATAGTAAAAGATTAGGTTTGGAAATAAGTTGGGGTGGAGCCCCCCCCCCCCCCCCCCGATATTACGTGCCTGCTGATGAGGGCCTAGAATTAAGCTCCTGAGTTTTACCAAATATTTCATTCTTTTTCTTGCAAAATAAAAATTATGCCATTTAGCTTTTGTTCAGGAAATGAAAGACATAGTAATATTTATTGTTTTAACAAAGTTAAAACTTTCATGGAAACTTATTGTACATGTAGTTGAGGCTAAAAATATAACCGATATATTGGTATCATATAATTTTTTTTAACGTTGAAAAACACGTATGCTAAATTTTAATTATGAACAAAAATATCGTATTGTAAATCATACTAGTAGATTATAGTATTCAACGATGTGGTTGAAATTCAAAGATCTTTTTAAAAAATGTCAATGTATGATAGAATAATGACAAAATATTGAATGATTTATTTGGATTTGGCAGTGATTAAATAAAGAACTTCAAATTTTATCATACAGCCATGATAATTCAAAATTTAAATCGAAACAGTATGACACAGAATAATTTGCAACACGAATATTTGTTCGTGGTACTGAGATTTTTTTTCCGAATAATTCTCTCTTTTTCTTTTCTTTCTTTCTTTTTTTATTTTTGAAAATGATGTGTACGCACCTGCGTATTTGCGTATAGGCAGCTACGCGCCTGTTAACTATAGTTTACTATAGTAAAATATAGTTAACTATAGTATATTTTTGATAGGGAATGTATATAATTTGATCGATGCAGTTATATACCTAAAATAGGTGACACGTTTTTGTTGCAAAAAGAATGGGAAAATTGAAGCAAATTTATCAAATTATGATCAAGATGACATATCCATCGAGAGACCTGACATTCTAAATAAGTCAAGTATAGACATTTGCAACATCCATCATGTAAGACAGATGAAATGGCACTGAATAATAGAATAACTACCTAGACCGTTCCATCACTTTCTACGAATTTAATTATTCCATTCATTCGATACTCTGTCATTCTATGAACTGAGTGTACCAGTTTTGTGACAATGTGCTGTTTTCACAAACAGTCTATAATCACAAGTTTGTCTGATCCATCTTATGCCAAAATATTGATTTGTCTGATTATATCATCCACAACACACAGGTTAACTAGGTACACTTAAATCTCGTATCTCCAAATAATTTTTTTTTCTTTGAAAAAATATATAAAATAATGAAGAGATAGTATCAATTTTCCCCTGCTGAAACCACATACATGTATGAAAAGAGATGTCTTAAAGATCCATGAAATTTTGGCATTCCACCTTAAAACGATGCTCTTAATTATAAATAAAATAATGCACGACATGCACACCTCAAGTAATTTACATGTATATAGCACAATACTGACTTAAAAGATATATGACATATTTAGCGTTGCAATTTTCGATCTTTTCATTTTCTATCTCTATCATTTTCTATCTATATTATATATTTCATCATTTCTAATTTCCAGTGGTCTAATTTTGTATTTGTATAATTCGGTACAAATAATAAGAATAATGGGATA